TCAAGCTGAGAGATGCAGAACTGCACCCAGCCACCACAGCATCCCACCCAGGGGCCACGAAGGTGGGATTTGCCAGGCTCATTCATCACCTGCAGGATGAAGGGAGATGAGGAGAGTGTTTGCTGCCTGTGCCCCCACAAAGAGCAGCTTTCTGAACAGGCTCTTTCAGATGCAGCCCTTTCATCTCCTCAGCTCACACTCCTGGTGAGAAGCAATAACCTGGCTTTTCTTCCTGTGGCTAATTAGAGGGCAAAGCTCACACACTGCTCTGGACCCTGCTATTATACATGGTAATTAAAACACCAAGAAATAATTGTTTTCAGTAGGAGAAAAATAATCTGAGCCTTGTATCTGGGCCTTTACTAGTAAAGGAAGAAAAAACTGTTCTGCCCTGTGAGGTGAAGGGAGTTTGCTCAGGACTAGAAGGAGATGAAACGTTCTGTGAAAGGGCTGCTCAGTGCCAGTGGGTCCTGGGGGTACAGTGGGAACTGCTGTGATTTTCTAGGCTCCACAGGTGAGAAGATCCTCAGTCTGGTAACCCCAAACGTGAGCTGCTGCTCATGGCTGTGGCAGGCTCCATGGCTCCAGGCCTGAGTTCCAAGCCTTTAGGAAGAGGCAGATGATTGTTCCCTCTTCCTGGCTTAACCCAGAGCCCTGGTTTGCCAGTCCTGGCCCCACTRACAGCGTCATGTCAGTGACTCTGGCCACCCGTCGTGGTGAGTTAAAGCTGAAATTACCAACATTATTAACACCATTACTGAAATTACGAAATCATTGACACCATTRTTAGGGTTATTAGTGCTTGTGGGTGCTACAGCTGTCCAGGCTGGAGTCCCTTTCTCAAAAAACAAACATTCGAGTTACAGTTTCTGGTTAAAAACAAGYCCTTTTCATGGGGAGGCTGAACCACCACGAGTCTGGGGGTGCACACAGTGAACATGAGRGAGTGGGGCTGGCTTTGTGCCATCCCCACACTGCAGGCACTGCCTGTGCTCCAGGAGAAGGAGACTTCCAGCAGGGGTTCTGCCTTTGAAGCTGCTGCAAGTAATGGGGTGGGCATGAGGAATCTGCTGGCAAGTGGGTTGGTTTTTTCCTATCACTGGAGGGAGTTTTGCCTGTTCAAAAGCTGGAAGGGAGGGAAGGAGGGTGATTTGCCCTAGCAGGCTGCAGCAGCTAAGCCTATCAGCCCAGCCACAGAGCTCCTCTTCCCCAGCTTCTCCGGTGAATCTGGCAACTGGAGCACACACTTCTTATCTCAGAGTCCCAAGAYGAGCGGGATCAAACACTTGGGAGCAGTTCAAAGGCTGGACCCCGGGCTGTGCAGGCTGCAGGAGGCACAGTGGAGGCAGCCTTGCCATGCCAGCTGCCCCCGGGGCCGCTCTGGGGCTCGGGCAGCCCCTCCTGGTGCTGATCTGCAGCACATTTCCCCTCCTCCTCCCRTTGATCTGCTCCTCAGATCTGCCTGGCACCAGTCCCTGCCTCATCTGGGAGAAAAAGTGTTGTGTCACGTCACGAGAACTTTTCTGATCACCCTCTTCCATACATCCGCTCCTGGCTCTGTCACTGGGGTGCTGTGTCATGGGCCACCTGMTCTGCCTCACCATCCCACAGTTTCCTCTTCTGCTACGTTCTGAGCTCAGCTTTAGGGATAAAGGACCTTAAACAGTGCTGGGATTCAGCACTGCTGGGGTTGGTTTGAGCTTACAGACTGGCACCAAGCTGCAGCTCWGTTTGAGCCAGTGCAGCGCAAAGGATGAAGGATGTGGCTCACATGGCTCCTTCCACATGTTTTCCACACACACCCTGCCAGCTCTGGCTTTTCTCTCTGCTTCCAGGAGGAAATGGCTGTTCTTTGTGGTGGACCCTGCAGGGGACTGGTATTACCACTGGCTGGCTGTGATAGCAGTTCCTGTCCTCTATAACTGGTGCTTGCTCGTGGCCAGGTGAGCTGGGAGCTTGTAGGGTCCCTGTCCCCTCTGACCCTCCTCATCACCAGCATCGAGCTGGCACTGATGGTTTGGSACCCTCCACTGTCACTGTGAGCTCTGTGGTGCACCCATCATGCCCTGGCCCAGCTGGAAAGGACCATGATTTTGGGGTAAAGCTACAGGATGCATTTGGGAGGTTGTTTCGAGACATTGCTTTACCTGCATYGAGAGAGGGCAGATTTTTCAGAGAAGGGAGTTTTAATTCCTAGAAGAGGAGTGGCCAGTGATAGGTGCCTCAGGATCAGCCTATATTCAGCTGTAACAGTCAGAGAAGATGTGGGGATTTGTGGTCTGACCCTTTGTCTGATGACCTTCCTCCAGGGCTTGCTTCACTGACCTGCAAAARGCCTATTTTATCCTGTGGCTGGTGCTAGATTACATCTCAGATGCTCTCTACCTCGGGGACACGGTGATCCGCCTGCACACAGGTGAGCAGGAGCAGCATCCTGGCTTTCCTTTAATCCCTTAAAAGTGGACATGAGCTGCAAGGGACTGGCCTAATCTACAGTTCCATTAGAAGGAGGGTTTTGTCTACCTTGGCGCTCGCCAGCATGAAGCAGTCTCCAGAGAAAGAATCTAATTAGAGGATCTGAGAAATGGACTAAGTTTCAATATGAAAGATTAATCATCCCAGCTTTCGACTTCACCTTTGAATAATTGTACAAAATTACCTGCATTACTATTGGTATTCGGGCATAGTTGAAGGTCTGTATCTCTGATTTTGCATCAGTTCAGCTAATGAATTATCTACACGGAAAAATGGTAGAATTTAATGTTCTCGGAAGGCAGCACTTGGCTGTAGGCTTTTTGTCAGAACTGCAATAATTCATGATCTGGAGGATGGGAGCCTTGGTGTTCCTGTTTTTTTTTGTAGCAGCAGATGAAATCCCTGAGTTATATCTTTGGGTGGCTTTTGCCAGATGAAGGGCTTGAGTGAAAACCAAAGCTTGTTTACTGAGTAGAGCAGGTGGAACTGCTCAGATTATAGTCAGGTAGTATTTAGATGACCCTGTGTGTTTATTCACACAAATCCATAAACTGTCATTGAGGTGCTCACAAAACCTGCAGAAGAGTCAAATATAAACCATGATAATCCTGAAAGTTGCTTCTCTTTAGGATTCCTAGAACAGGGCCTTCTGGTTAAGGACCTGAAGAAGCTGCAGGATAACTACATCCACACCCTGCAGTTCAAGCTGGACGTTCTCTCCATCCTGCCCACAGACCTGGCCTATTTTGGGGTGGGATTGCACTGCCCTGAGCTGCGTTTCAACAGGCTGCTGCGCTTCTCCCGCATGTTCGAGTTCTTCGACAGGACCGAGACCAGAACCAGCCACCCCAACATCTTCCGCATYGGCAACCTGGTGCTTTACATCCTGGTCATCATCCACTGGAACGCCTGCATTTATTACGCCATCTCCAAGGCCATAGGCTTCGGGGAGGACAGCTGGGTCTACCCCAACGTCACCGACCCCGAGTATGGCTATCTGACCCGGGAGTACGTCTACTGCCTTTACTGGTCCACGCTGACTCTGACCACCATYGGGGAGACCCCTCCCCCCGTGCGGGATGAAGAGTACCTCTTCGTCATCTTCGATTTCCTCGTCGGCGTCCTCATCTTTGCCACCATCGTGGGGAAYGTGGGATCCATGATATCCAACATGAACACCAGCAGGGCGGAGTTCCAGGCCAAAATCGACTCCATCAAACACTACATGCAGTTCCRCAAGGTGAGCAAAGAGCTGGAAACCAAAGTCATCAAGTGGTTTGACTACCTGTGGGCCAGCAAGAAGGCGGTGGACGAACGGGAAGTTCTCAAGAATCTCCCTGACAAGTTAAGGGCAGAGATTGCCATCAACGTTCACCTGGAGACGCTGAAGAAGGTGAGGATTTTCCAGAACTGCGAGGCAGGGTTGCTGGTGGAACTGGTGCTGAAGCTTCGCCTCCAGGTGTTCAGCCCAGGGGATTACGTGTGCCGGAAAGGGGACATCGGGAAGGAGATGTACATCATCAAGGAGGGCAAGCTGGCCGTGGTGGCYGATGATGGAGTGACACAGTACGCTTTGCTCACCGCAGGGGGCTGCTTTGGCGAGATCAGCATCCTCAACATCAAAGGGAGCAAAATGGGCAACCGGCGCACAGCCAACATCCGCAGCTTGGGCTACTCTGATCTCTTCTGCCTGTCCAAGGAAGACCTCATGGAAGCAGTCACGGAGTATCCTGATGCCAAAAGGATCTTGGAGGAGCGTGGGCGCGAGATCCTGATCAAAGAAGGGCTGCTGGATGAGTCAGCTGCAGAGGAAAGCATGGAAGGGAAGAGCATGGAGGAGAGGCTGGACAGGGTGGCCTCGGACCTGGATGCACTGCACACCCGCTTTGGCCGGCTCCTGGCAGAGCACAACGATGCCCAGATGAAGCTCAAGCAGCGAATCACCGCTCTGGAGTCCAAGATGGGGCACGAGGACCTGGAGGATTCCTTCTCTGATAGCTCAGACAGTCTGTTTGGTGGTGAGGAGAAAGCCTCACCCGGTGGGATGCCATGAGGGGGAACAGAGGTCAGCTGGGTGACGTCTGACCTTGTGCTGAGACAGTGTTTGCTGCTTCACAAGGCTGCCCCTGCACTGCTGCTGCCTCTGCCTTGATGCAGCTCCAAATCAGGGAATTGTCCTGGCCCCTCCTCCATCCTGCCCCTTTTCTCACTGCCTKTTGGGTTCAGCCTTTGTAACTCAGTCAGGTAACCAGTCCCCAGTGAGTGCCTGTGAACACCCAGTCTGCACCCAGAGACTCTTTCCTCACAAGATCCCCAAACTCAGCTAAGACAGGCCAAACTGTGCCTGTGACTTCTGCAAGTGGAGAAGCTTGTCTGGATCATTGTCACTGCCCCGGTCACCACCCTTGCTGAGCTGGGCACTGAGCTGGTTGGGCACTGCTGCCTCCTGCCTGCCTGCCTCCCTTCTCTGCTGGGTTTGGTGCTGTCAGGGGCACCTGGTGCAGGTGCTTTGGGGTCAGGGTGGTCCCGTTTGGGCTGGGGATGTCCTGGATGCCAAGTGCAGTTCAGAGGTGCAGTGCTGGCAGTGCTACAAGCAGGAGTAAGACAGAGTCTCTCTCCTCTATCTAATGACAGCCAGATGTGCCAGGAGAGCTTTGACTGAAATGACATGATTTTAAGGAACAAAGCCATGGCGGGAGCCAACTGTGCCCATATTTGCTTTGCTGTGGGTAGCTCAGAGAGAGCTCAGAACACATTTATTTTCTTAGGCAGGGGGTTTTCTTGTTCTCAGCAGCAGTTTTGGGGCTTTGCAGGCTGCAAAGCTCCCTGCCTTCTGGAGGAGAGATGAGTGGCAGAGCCCCAGGGACACGTGTGAGGGTGGAAACGTGGCACCACTGCGAGTGCCAGCAAAGCTCTGCTGGGCTGTGCTGCAGCCCTGGGGGCTCCATGATGGGAGCAGCCTGGGGCGGAGTGGGACAGTGCAGGAAGAGCCCCCAAATCCCTGCAAGTTGCAGTGTCACTGACTGAGGATGATGCCTCAATTCTTGGTTCGGACCCATGGGTTGGCACATGGGTCCACTGCACCCATGGATTKGGCTTGGGCTGGTTTCCCAAGCAGGAGAACATTTAGTGGAAAAGGGAATTTATGTTTTGGGTCAAATTGAGCCAAGAGTTTGGCCTAAAATGATAGGTTGACACATGGGGAAGTATCAACCCAGAAAGGTTCATAGTGGAAAACTGAGGATATTTCCTTTGTTCTTTCTTTGCCTTGAAAGTAAAACTGCCTCTGTGCATTTCATATGAATGTTTTCCATTAAAAAAGAATGGCCTTGCTTTTTGGGATTGTAGGGGTAGGAACGGTTACATTACCAACTTAAGAATTTGGCGTAAGAATAAAAGCTTTTTCGTCATCTCTAAATTAAACTACAGATCTTCTGAGTTTGGCTTTTTTTCCCTTTTATTATCAAGATGCTCTTGGCTGAAGTCGGGCTGGTTGCAGTTCTGCTACTCATCATAACGCCACGAGCCCCGGCTCACAGATTCCCCCTTTTCCTGTAAGTTATCGCTCCTGAATTTGCCGCTGGCTCTTCGCAAACCCCGCCCGTTCCCCGTTCCCCGTCCGTTCCCCGTCCGTTCCCCGCCCGTTCCCCGCCCGTTCCCCGTTCCCCGCTCGGCGCTGCGGGCCGGGTGCGGTGCGGTGCGGCGGGCGGGCGGCAGAGGGCGCTGTGGCCCGCGGAACCGCGGACCCTCCGGGCGGGAGAGGGGACCCTCTGTGCGACATCCTTCATATGGGAGAGGGGACCCTCTGTGCGACATC